TTCCAGGATTAACTCTTAGCCCCTCTCTCTCAGTCCTCTCTCTCCTTCTCTCTCTCTCGCTCTCTGTCTCTCCGTCCCAATATTGGCCCATGTTCTTAATGCACTCAGCTATATACAGAATATACACCCATAGTACAGGGGGTAACTAATCAACTAGTTAACTAGTTGTCCCCTCCCCCCAAACCCCATTTTTCAGCCCGCGATATAGATAGAATAGATAGTGGTTTTTTTGCCCTGTAGGGCGGGTTAGATTTATCCCATATCGTTGTACCTCTCTTTATTATTATTATTATCATTGTTTTATTATTATTGTTAATGTTCTGGTTTTATGGGATTGGTTTGGTTTGGTTGGTGGGATGATGATTGTAAATAACGCCAAGATTAATGACTACATCTTATACTGTGTCTCCTACTGGATAGTAATTTATGTTACTTGGGATGATCGTGAGATGAGATTGACGTCATGTAGGGCGGAGACTAGAATATTTTAGGTAGTAGTAGTAGTAGGAGGAGGTATGGGCATGGTAGATAACGTACTGTTGGTTTTTATTAGGGTAGGAGGTAGAGTAGAGTATAGTGCTATATTGCTTGGGGGAGTTTGTCTTTAGAGTAAGGGATCTCGTGGTATGGGATGAGAGAATGATTATCCAGGAGTAGTTGGTAGCTACTAATTTACTTGTTTAGGCAGGTAAGTAAGTAACCTATGATGATGATGATGAATGCAGGATTGCCACTTCATTATACTACTCCATCCTAATGGTATATACAAGGCATTAATACAGATGAAATGAAAAATACACCCAATCTTCCCTGCACCACAACAATACCGGAAAGAAAGGTAATCTTCAAAATACGGTATGTACCAGCCCGGGATCAGCTCATCCATGGCTAGCGCGCCCCAGTTGCGTAAGAGCAGTTTGCACAGCCCCCGTGCCGGCGCTAGTGAAGCAGCCTAGACCTTCGCTAGTTCTACCCACCCTTCTCTTTCCCCCCCTCCCCAACCTAGCCCGGATGAGCAGAAAAGCAGCAGCAGGCTTGGCAAGTTACAGTTGTCGCGCGCGCCGGGAATCATTAGTCATCGGGGAGGCCCAGGAACTTGTGCCAGGCCCCGAGAACTCTGTTTTTTTCTCCCCGATCTGCCCTTCTGGCTTCGCAGATCCTGGGTCTTACGTCACCGCCTGATTGGGTGCTGCTAGCTGGGGCCCGTGGGGCTGCCTTAAAACAGCCTCGTGGGGTCGGTGGGGTTATGCCCTGGATCCTGACAGGTCCTAGCGCTTAGAAGTTCTACAATTTCCCCCCTCTCATTCCCTTCCTCTTTCCCACCCGACACGAGCTGAATCCAATCAGTCCTTTTAGGCTAACTGATTTGATAAGATCATCTGGCTTGTAGCCGCCGAGGCTTGAGTTGGGATAGCTGAAGCTAGTGTGGTGCATTTGCTCTCATTGGCTGGGTTCTTGCTTGCTGGACCGGTAGTAGTAAACTGTATGTCTATCTCGACCTTGCTCTCTGTTCCAACTTGTCGCGGGATGATCGGCATCAGGGTCTGAAACCTGTCGAGCGCAGACCATACCCAAATCTAGTCTAGACCCGAGTCTATATTGTGCATAGCTGCGTTGTGTCCTTCCTTTTGTGCCTTCAATAGTGTACGGATTCGGGCTATTCCGCCAGCCTCCGCATACCATAGTAGAAGCTCTGAACGCCACACTTGCGTGCGTGGCCCGTCTATTCACGGACCATCTCTGTCTGTTTTCAGTTCAACTATCGTTTTTCCTAAACTTTGGAATCAGATGGTGCCGCTTCTAATGCCACGTGACGTAATTTGGCTCTGCGACCCGCTGGTTCGTCATTTAAAGACGTGGCTAAGGGAGCCTATCAACGAGCATGCTTAGACTTCTGACGGAGCCTTGCTGCGCCGTGATCTACCCCTGGCGAAGTCAACGTTAGGTAGCGCTACCAAAGTCTAAAGGTTTCCGCGTCCGTTGCTCTCATCCGTGGGATTAGACCGCATTCCAGGCGGCAGACGAATGCCCATCGCAGCTGGCAAGTTGCCTGGTCCGCGGATAATGTTGACCCTCTCGGAAATGTCCACCCTGGCCTTTGCAAGGCCAATCGCAGGGACAACCCACTCGCCGCAGCTACATTGCATACCTTGCCAGGCAAATTTGCCAATATTAGCTCCGCAGGACGAGTTGGGGCAAGTCAGACGGCCAGACAAAGGGGCGTCTTCTGGCGGCGCTCCATAAGGCGAGCTGGAGGTTTCTCCATCGGTGCCAGGAAAGAGCGACGGGCGCATCCACGTCAGTGGGTGCAGGAAGACATGAGCGCAATCAGCCGTGGATGCTCTGGCGTTCTTTTGAGTGGTATGGGGGATGATGAATTGCGTGGTCGCCAACTTGCGCCTGGTGATATGGTCAGGAGGAGCTCATAGATAAGCTTCGAAAGGATCGTAATCAAGACTAACCGGCATTTGCGACATTTGATCTCTGTCATACGACCCGCAGGCTCCTGTGATTGGCGCGGCTGCTCGTCTTCAAACAGCACGGACTTCATCTCGGGTGCTCGACCACATGCTACACTCTCCTCCACCTCGCGGCGGTAAAGCCACCGGCTGTAGAGGGGGTGGCTGGTAACATCATCTGGACATCCCATCTGATGGTAGACGGAGAGCTGCTCCATGAACCCAGGATTTGGCTCACATAGCGGTCGGTTCTGTCTGATGATGTCAAGAGCGGACTCTGGTGTCAGTGCGCTAGGCTGACGGTTGAGCAGATACGCGATACAAACAGTGGCTGATCGGGATTTTCCCATCGCACTACTAACGGTCAGCACGCTGGTCATTTTAGAAGCGCAATCGAACACCTTTGTTACACAAGGTCAAGTGAACATCATGAATCACGTGATGTTAAAACACGGCTTCAGCAGGCATTATAAAAGCACGGGACTAAAGTAATAGGAAGGGGTAGGGTACCAGTCCCGGGTAAAGACCTGAGAGCAGGTCTTACCAAGGAAACACGTCGAAATATCCTAAGAGCAGATAAACGAGGGGGACTAAACTAACCAATGTACAAGCACTCCTCCGCCGGCATCAAGACCGGACTGGATGAACTTTACAGCAGCTGGGAAATGTTCTAGTAAGTTCTCATCGTCGACATCGTCGACCTCTATACAGTGGTGTTGAAAAGACTCGAAGATATCCTCAGCTGGTTGGAGGCGTAACACGGAAACAACATGTGTAATGTTTGCTCGAGTCAAGGCTGCCTTGTTCTTGAGTGCCAGTATGCTACGTGCAACTCGGTGTTAGCAAGCTTCCTGAGAGCAGAGCACTATAACCCCTCTTGGACCCTGGCCCATCATATGACGGGCCAAAGGAAGGCTTAGTATGGTAACAGAAAGTGAGAGACAAGGTAACCAACCCTCCAACATAGATATTCTGTCCAGGGATCTGGTTCATCGCCATGTTGACAATCTATCGAAACAGCGATCTAGATGAATAATGATGGCTCTAGATCGGGTCGACAATGCGAAAGAGTATGACGATGATAAGAGGCAGAGTGGCCATGAATGATAGCCAAGATCGGACCTGAACATTCGATATGGCGCCAAGAAATTGTGACGGCACCTGATTGGCTGGACGCAATCCTGCAATGGCGGCATGAAGGAAGAAACTTAGGGTGTAGGGCAAGGGTAAGGGTAACATACCAGCAGTAGGAATTTGACACCTAAGGCATTAAGACAGACCCCGCATAACTTAACGGTCATTCCTTCGGCCGGCTTTGGCATGCAGCACGGACTTGGCCCAGCGTATTACGCTCTTCCTCTATACGATCATTGGCAATAATTCTTTTTAGAGGAGTGAATTACACGCTGCACAGCCCCCTTGGTTCCTCTAATCACTTCGTTACCCCTCATCCATCCCGCAAGTCTACAAGATGTGTGACATGCAATTGGCTCCCCATTAGCCAGCGCATCCAGCTCCTGGATCCCCGGGTCCCTCCCGCTACCAGCGTGATCCTCATCTAGGCCCCTGGTGGCACAGAGGCGCTGGCTCAGAGGGCGTGATATGTCCGGAGCAATATTGGCCTGACGCCGTCGGCGTATCAGCCTGGTTAATTGAAGCGGCAATTTTTGATAGGAAACCAGGAAAGGCCTTGTCGTACTACTGCAACTATCGAGACGATCTCGACCAAATCAATAGGTCGTTTGATCCGTCACATTCAGAGCCGAGGAGGCCAAAACAGCCCCCGGTAGATAGTTAGATAGTCCTCGGACAGTCAGGCTCAGATGCTAGTGCTCGTAATACTAGTCTAGTGCGTACCCAAGCAGCTAGAAGTCGCCGGTTCCGGTCGTCGATCTAGCTCATCGCTTAGGCCTTGTTTGCTGCCAAGGCTTCGAGAGCTGGTCTGGAATGGAAATCGCACTATAGTCCGGCCGAGATGATTGCTAGTGGTATCATGGTCAAGAGTGTGCAATCCAATTATATGGTCTTTGCGCAGGTATAGTTCGGCGTGTGAATCCCCTAGCGCCTGATTATATCATATTCGGTGAGACGTGGTTTGCCTGGCTAAAGCAAAGTCCTACCTGTAGTACGTATCGAGTACGTGTTCCATCCATCCATCCAGCAATAATCACTCCATTGCTGGCATTTATTGGCTGCCAACCAGTTTCAGTCGCCGAGACTGGTACTGCATAGGTACGACCCAGGCAAGCGTTAATCGCTGACAGGCCAAGAAACAACCAGGTTTCTTGGTCCACTGCGCATGCAAGAGGTAAATGCTCGGTAGATAATGCTTGATTCAGTCTCCCGTGACCAATCAAGAAGTCGATAATACTTGGACAAGAAGAAGCAAGCATGAACCGCATTTAGAAACAACTTGCTACCCACCTGCAGGAAAACAAGGGCTATCTTATCATGGCAGTGTAACCAACCACCCATATTTTACCCAGAAAGCCCGCAGGGTAACCATATTGCAGGGTGGGTTGTGGACTGTCTGATGACTTGGCTTCTAGTCCACATATGCAGCCTTACAAATTAAATGGATTCCCGACATGACTGAAGCATGCCAAATACGACCAAATCATTTGATATGACCAGAAATAGGTGCGGTAGGTGATGGTTGCTTTGCAGGGTCGGAAACTATCATGATACCTATCAACTATCGATCACTAATTCAAGACACGGCCTGTGCACGAGATTTAGTCTGCAGCCCCTTAAGGCTTAAGGCTGACGGCGCTTTTTGTACGAGAGATGCTGAGCCTAACCCGACCTTTCTCCTCGGACAATTATTACTACTACTACTCCTTCTTACATTCTTTTCCTTGCTTGCGTGGGTTGCCTTATCCTTTTTTCTCTTCAACCTGTTGTACCTGCCTCTTACAGTATGGGGTGTCAATATACCGGAACGAACCATCCAAACCAGCCCATTACTGACCTACTTAGTACTTACAGTAGTATAGTAACTTATCAAAGAAGACATGGTTATCTGATGTCCCACCCCTGCTGCACTAAGAATCCATGGAGTTAAATTAGTATAGTAGTAGTGTAGGTAGCTAGGCGGATAGGACACAAGCGACCGGGGGTCTCATTGGCCTTCGCATGCCCATGCTAGTTGTCCCATGGTGTTGCTACCCTGCACGAATCGGGCCAATAAAGTCCGATAATTGGAATTTCTTGAAGGACCTACTTACCCAGATAAATGGTTTAGTTACGGAGTACTACTAGTAACTTCCTGTGAGGTAAAACCGAAGTGCCACCACACACAAACGGTGTAGTTCCCCCGAATTGCCACCACTACAACCACCTGGGTAACTACTAACTAACTAACTAAGCTGTGGATGCATGAGTGCGTGTTCAGTCTGTGCGACGGTTAGGTTTAATTAGGTTGGGTTTTGTCGGTGGGCGCGTAAGATTCGCCCAAGGGAAAAGTTGTATCTATAGCAGTTTAGCAGTAAAACTAATACTAGAACTATAGAGGGAAAAGAAGAAGTTTTATTGAGTCTTCCCCCTCCCAGCCCCGTTTCTTGGCCGTAGAGACTGAGTGGTGGATTGTCATTAATACCGCAGATGATGCCGTGTGTGTGTGGTGGTGGTGCGCATTGATTGATTGCATTTTTACACAATAGGTTCGTGAAATATGGTCCACGCAGGAGGAATTCAGGCTGATTGTGGCAAAAATGGGGGTGGTTTAGTTGGTCTTGTTGACAATACGAATTAGATAACTTTCATTTTCGTGAAAGTACAGCCAGACCAGAGTCGGATAGTAGACTAAAGTGTTTATTGTTTGCAAAAAGTTGCCTTGTACGCAGATCTGTTTCCCCCCCTTCCTATTCATTCTATTTTATTCGTTATTATTATAATTACTATTTATTTTTACAGTTTACTCCTGATCCCTTTTCCTGGTACCTCAAACTGACGGAGGACGGATAGAAGTTCGCTTGTTACTTCCGATCCGTTAAGTCCGGGTTATGGGTTACTTACTTTACTTAGTATGGGACTGGACCCGAGACGAGGGCCGACTTTTGCTGACTGGCCAGCTGGCTGGGAGTCTGAGAGAGAGACAGATAGAGACGAAAAGAGCGAGCAGGGAAAGTTGGATCAGAGAGGGAAGGGACAATCAACTGATGATCCACCGGAGAGCAGAAACAAGATCAATGAAGAGAAAATTTGGCTTACTCCGCAGTTATGTTCAGAATTTTCATGTCTCTCTTTTGCCTAGGCCAATTTATGGAGTATTTTTCTCTTCTTTTTCTCTATTACTACAAAGTGTCTGGCATTGTGTCTCTTACTTGTTGCTATTCTTCACCGTAGAGCGTTATCTACTTATCAGCTATAGATAGTCACCCACCCACCCCTCTAATGTTGAATTCCACGAGCAAGCACCGTTCGCTTAATTTTCAGCCCTTTGAAAATGAAATTATTGAAAAATTGATTACCTAGAATTCATGGCCCGCCCTTCCCCCCTTCTTTTCCTACACACATCCCCTTATGCCAGTGTTTCCAGGGAATTCCTCGGATCGCAAGGTGCGACGGGGGGGAAATGCCAAATGACAACAATGTGGCAGTGCATGTATCTAAGGCCAGAAGTGGACCCCGCTAGACCATGATTGGCAGTGGGTCAAGCCCAACAGGGCCACTAATAATCGTTGTGACGGTCTTCCGCAACAACTCACGGTGGGGCGCCATGGAAAGTTGGAGTCGGTTGGAAAAGTACACTTGGGGCCTAGGATGCACTCGGTACCCTACTCCGGCCTGGTCGGCTTTAGGGCCCCTGCCTCTGCTGAGTTATTGCCTACCTTGGATGGATGAACTGATGGACCTCTTTTCTGGAATTATCCCTGAATTGGGGAGGTAATTGTGTGATTATGATTATAATCATGTTGATGATGACGATGAAGGAGCAGGATGATGATGAAAAGGAAAAACACAAAAGGTGGCGGTAATTTTCGTAAAACTTAAAAATGATGCTGTCCCTGTATTTGTCGAAAAATGGACGCGCGCGGGTAAGGCGACGGAGAAAATAATGGGCAAAGCAAAGCAACCACACTTGCTGCATACCACTCTTTTGGCAACTTCTACATGTTAGTTACTGTGTACCGGGCTGAAGGTACACCCAGAAGGGTAAGTAAATAAAAAGCAGACATAAAATAATGATTCTGATAATATACTTGAGATTGGGCTAGCTAGCCCCAGTGTTTTCCGTATTCTATGCTCCCCTATCAAATTCCTTTGAAACGTTCAGTTCTTCAGAATGAGAGTGTACCACTCACTGTATGTATCTAGTATGACCCGCAGTAAGTCGACGCAATATCTACTAGTAGCTGGGAGCATAGTATCACCGGAACTTCTGGATGGGCGCTAAGCCGATGAGAGGTACCTGACAAGAACTTGGTCGCCTTGGACTGAAATTGAGAAATGTTGCTTACAATTGCATGGGGGGCATTCGCCTAAGAGTTACCACAGTCACCACCGTGGAGAACGGGCCCCTCTAACCCATTCAACCTGCCACTTTTGATTGATTATTGTGCCCTGAAATCTTCGCGCCCTCATTATCTGATGACGGGCAAAAACCTTGTTTTTTTACCTTTTGCTTTCCCACCACAGCCCAATGGTGTAAGTAATCGTAGTAATGGAGCACCGACTGGAGAAGAGGGGAGAAGAAGACGAGCCTATGAGACGTTGTCAGAGGTAATGGCTGGTATCCAGTGGGACACAAGTTGAGCAGAGTGCCGAAGAATCAACATGGCACTAAAAGTTGAACTACCAGCACTGCCTCATTCCAATCTAACCGTCCCCAGTCGTCCTTGCACTGTCAGAACCAATCCGGTTAGCCCGAGGCCTCACCGCTCTGCATCTGGAATAAGTCCTGGCCGCTTTCCACCTGCAGTTCCCTGACTCGGTTCGGTCTGTTGGATCCAAGCTTCCTAATTCATCATTTCTGTAGCCCCAGGTCGAACAAGATACCTTTTGTGGTACATAAGATGCCTGCTCGGGTTTCAGTCATAATCCATCCTGTGTTGTTTATTTGCCGCCTTGCGGATGGGGAAAAGCAAGAGGAAGGAAAGTCATAAGAAAAGAAACCCAGACACGTGGGGACTACTTGGTCTGTGATATCCAATGCGTGTCCCCTCTTTCTGCCGTCAATAGTACTGTACTCTCATCACTCTGAGGATTGACCAGCTTCACCTTTAATTAACCCGGGTGACGATGGATATCGAGGTATATGGGGTATCACCAAAATTTACACACATAATCCCACACCCCCTCTTCTCCTCCTAGGCGGGTGAATTGTTTTCCTCTTGAGGCACTTGCCTTACGGAATTCCGCCTGCATGGCAGTATGCAAGGTGGAGAGGTCGATACGGGACACGCATAAGCATGGTCTGAAGACATAAGGCGGATTAAACTTTCGTAGGGAAAATCCCAAACAGGAAGGTAGGTTATAGTATTGTTAAGGACGGCGTAGAAGGCTCACAGAAGCTTCAGTGAGTGAGCATGACTTTGGGTGTGTCATACCGCTTGCACCTCACTAAGCGACTTGATAGATGACGCCCTTCAAGCTGATATTAAATGATTCATGCGATTACGCTTGCTTACTTTTAAAGACCCTCCGATTAAATTAACATCCTGGCCGATCCATACAAACTGGTCGACGATTTCCTACTATCCCGCGCGGGCTATGGCAACGGCGTGGTTCTCGAGTCCAGAGAATTAGGTTGAGTGAGTTGATAAGCCCCCATTGAAGGAATATCAACAGAATATCGGATAAATAGTGGGGAGAACAGACAATTTCCAGTTGCCTTTTGTTGTCTTGATTAGATTCTTTCTGAATGTTATGATTCCTTCCGGGCTGCTTTGACTTTGGGGAGAAAGGCCCTTGTCTTGTATGTATCTGGTAATTTTACATTCTGCCGTACTGCAATAACCACCACATGTAATCTGACGAGCGGCAAGTAGATTTCGCAGATGATGGTCAAACAAGGCAAGGGAAAAAAGGAGGGGGTCTTTTTTAAAGAAAATAAAAAAACGAGGGAAAGGGGGATGGAGAAAAGGAAGTGCTGACGAGTGGATGAATAATGTGGCCTTTAAGAACGACTAGAATAATTGTTATTGCGATCAGTGCTTCAAATGATAAATATAAATGTTAGTTATTTATTCCTGGTTCTGCTGTTTTGTCTTCTTCGCTGGAGCTTCTCTGCTCCATCCAGCCCGGTAGGCCGGTCACTAGAAGGTATTATACTCCATACATGACCCCCCTTCGAATTTCTGACCTTGCAAATTTCATTTGCCGCTGGTGCTGCGTGCATTACCGCCGTGACATTGAAGGGAAAGGCACGCTGCTCCCGTTGGCCAGCCCAACTTCAAAGGTGCCCACTCGGACCAAACTCCAGTTTGAAACGGATGTTCAAATACCAATGTTGTATCATCATCGCAGACGACCTTAATATTATCTGCCTTTCTTGCCTTCTTCCCTCCATTCTCCTCTCTTCAACTTCCTCTGTCTGGCCGTATCAACTACTATCCTCTTCATTTACCCCCCCTTTCAGCCTCGAATTCTGCCCGTTTCTTGGGTGCCTACGGAGCGAGACTCAAATCGAGAACCCCCCGACTGTGAGACAGACGAAAAACAGGGAATTAGTCCTTGCAATTACAGCCCATTTCCTTTCTCCGAGCCTTGTAGGGACCGTAAGGCCGGGGTCTGCAACCACACCATTCTTCTGCCCATCCTACATCTATCTATCTATTTATCTATCTACTACATCTACACCACGTCTCTTACTTTCTTGGTCCGCTACCAAAGCTTCACCTCTGTTCTCGGTTTTCATATCCGCTGCGCCTAGCAACGGCAGTTCCAATACATCCACCACAGCGCCTGCAGGTCTTCTTTTTCGCCTCCGCGACCTCCGCCCGCCATCGCCCTCGATCCATTCTTTCCGCCGCCATTAGCATTGCGCCTCAATCCGCCTTCTGGTCGCTGAGAATAGGTGCATGTGACTTTCAGCTTTCTGACAACATCCCATTTTCGCCTCTTTCTCCTCGTCTTTCTCCTCTTGTTATTTCACCTTTTTCCCGCGCCATCTAGCTCGCTTCCGAGTAGCCGATTTTCACTAGAGAAAGCACCCTCAGGTGTCGATCAACTTCAAGCCTCCAGGTGTAGGCATTGAAGAACCAGCCCCTTTCTGACTGATTCCCTTCTCATTTTTCGACACATTCAAATCCGCACCCATCCTCGAGCGCCAATCTATTCCAGTCAACGTCCTTCAGCATGTTTTGTGGTCTCTGCGCCGTTCGTTGTTAAGTTGCCGCTATCCGGCAGTTTCATGGCATACAGACAGTTTTGCAAGCTTGTGCGCAACTGACAGAAAGCCACTAACACAGTTGATCGCTGGTACTTTCAACGGTTCCTTCCAGAGAGAACACTTAAGTTCTTCCTAGTCAGGTAGCGTGCTCTCGTTCGATCATTTGTGTGCGATCAAATTCACCTGACTACTCAGGACTTAAGCTTAATCTATCCGGATTGCCACTTCCCTGCTGCAGAACAACCATTTGACTTCGTCCACTCCTTTACCGACAACCCCCGCAGCATTTGGAACGAAACTTAGAAGCAGGTTCTTCTGTCAAGAACATCGATCTTTCGTCACAGTTCTTTAATTCCGGCTTCGCGAGCTATTCACCAGAACGATATACACTGCTTTGTATCGTCTACGCCAGTGCACGCTTACACGTCCTTGACCAGTCCTGTCTGTTGTCCATGAACAGCTTCTCGCCAATTCTTGTGTACGATGGACATTCCGCGACTTGCGCCTCCTTCGATTAACGTGTATGACTTCAACAGTGGTAGTTTCGACCACCAGCATTCCCCCGCCAGATCGCCTTGTAACATGCCCGGGCAATCGTTTTCGGGACCTATGCCTATTCCAACGAATTCAATGAGCAATCTCGCTCCTCCGCCTTTACCACCACCCCCCCGAATCAGTGACCTTGAGGACGGCTACGACGCTGGCTGGCTGCATGCAAATGTTAGAGGACCACACAAACTTGCTCCGATAAATCCCAACTCTAGTCTTTTTGGCGGTCACCGTCGCCCGGAAGCTTCGCCTCAAAGTGATAGAATGGCTATCGACGAGTTAGATGGTCGACAAAGCGGTTTACCTTTCTCTAGGAGTCCCGAGGCCCACATCAGAATTGAACCCCCACCACCGATGGATGAAGGGTTCCGGAACGCCATTTCAGTCAACAGTCCCAGCCCGATTTTGAAGGGGGAGAGAGACTTCTCTCGACGAAGCGTGAAGGATTCATCAGATGCCTACGACCAACACCTCTTGTCGAAAATAGGAAAACCGCTTTCTCCACGACAGTCTATCAGCTCTGGTAGCGAGAACAAGGGCTTACTTTCAACCCTCACTATACCCTCGAGGACTTTTGGTGGTCTCCCTTCTCCCGGTGGTTCCGAGGGGTCTAGTCTTGATGTCAGGTGGCCGAGTAGCTACCAGTCGGGTGGGATATCGCCTGGGACCAAGATTGGCTGGAAAGATTATGTTGGAGGGCGAAGTCCAAGCGTTGAGAGTAGTGCCCCATCGTCTGCGGTGGACTATGACCAACCAGGGTACATGCGCGACCTGTCGCGCCGTCGTGGCGGTGGAACGACTCCCCTATACGACGAAACTACCAGTCTGCCCAGTCGATCAAACCGAGGAAGCTACGACCAAGGCGTCTTCTCTGACATAGAAGGCGAATTCTCAACTGACGAATCGCTTCCCCCTCGAATCTTCAATGTCCGACAAGCAACGCCACCTTATTTGGAAGCTACCAAGCCAGGCACGAAGCGGAGAGCGTCCTCTCCTCCCCGTGAGCCGATTGTTGGCGATAGACATGTTCTTAACGTGGCCACGAGTAACGGGGACCTCTCCCAGCGACGGACAAGTGGCCATCCATTTGGCAACTCTCTATCGGTCAATGTTCCTTATGCGCCCAGTCACGGAAGCCTCTCAGCTGCTTCATCCTTGAGCCTACGAACCTCTGGGTCTTACTCCTCGACGGCCTTCTCTCTAGGGGGAAGCAGCATGACGAGCTATGATCGCTCACCCGGGGGACTGTCGCCCAATTCCGACCTTGACACCTTCCATGATAAGTCCATTCTCAACCCTAGTTCTCCCGTGAATCTCCCGGGCCCGTCCATCTCGAGAAATCCCCCAAGTACCGGCACCTTGGAACCATCTAGCGTCGACACTGCTCGGAAAGTATCCATGCAAACGACACTTGCCCTGCCAAAGCCGGCAGGGCCGAAGATGGGCGGACTGTATATTTGCGATTGTTGTCCTAAGAAGCCCAAAAAGTTCGACAGTCCAGAGGAACTTCGGTAAGATTTATCTCGTTTTCCAGTCGCGGCTGGTTGTTTTGTCTAACATCTTTCACAGTGCCCATGAGATGGAGAAGCAGTACTCATGCTTATACTGCAACAATCGCTTCAAGAACAAGAACGAGGCAGAGCGTCATCAAAATTCCCTCCACTTGCGGCGTCACTCTTGGTCTTGCGCAGCTCTTCCTGGATATCAAGCAGCGTTCCATCCCTCGTCTTCTTCAGCCCAAACGAGCTCTGGGCCTTCCCACGACATTTGCGGGTACTGTGGTGAAGAGTTCCCGAATTTCCCACAGCCAGACTGGGACCGCAGATTCGAGCATCTTACAGCAGTGCACAAGTTTGGAGAGTGCAACAATGCGAAGAAGTTCTATCGTGCCGACCATTTCCGACAGCATCTGAAACATAGCCATGCTGGTACGAGTGGGAAGTGGACCAACATATTGGAGAACGCTTGCATGAAGGAAGAAGCACCTCCTGAGCCCAAGAATGGCAGTGGCAACGGAAGTGGGACGCTTGCATCAAATAAGATCAACGAGGTCCTCAGTGGTTGCTGACAGCAAGTGTGCCTTGTGGGGACTAAACATGCCCACGCCGGCCGATTGCTGAATGAGGCTAATGCTCTTATCAAGAGTATGCTTCATCTAACCTTCTCTCATACATATACACACATTTCTCCCTAACTATTTCATCACTGCGCCCGTGATCCAACCTGGCGTTCAACGGGGATTTTCCATTTGTGGTCCTGAATCTTTGACGCATTTAGCATATAACGGGGAATCTGGGTATCAAAATTTCACCGGAAAAAGGGGGGGGGAATATTTAAAACGGATCTCGGGGCACAGTGGTATTGATGTGACATGACGGAAATATCTTGCTTTATTCAAATCTGTTTCTTTGGCGATAACAAAACTCGGAGTCCTGGACGGATGATTCTTGGCGGGGCGGCTGATCGTGAGTTTGGGTTTGCATTAATGGCCTGCTTTGATTTCTTGCTTCTTCCCTTTGTCACTTTTTCTTTTCTTTTCTTTTCTCTTTTTGTAACCTCGTCCACAGCAAGCATTGTACGGCGACGGTGATTGGGTCAGCTGGCTTGCTTCGAATACGCGCCCATCTACCTACCTGTCTTGTTGTCTTGGAATATGTATGTCCATGTTAGAACATCTCTGAACCTAGCTAAGTGCTAGGTATATGTATATACCTAAGTAGAACTAAGAAAGAACTAAAATCCCATCTATGGACGGATAGACACTCCTCATCTACATACTGATTACTATCCCGAGTAACAGCCATTAAAGAAGACCTTTGCACCACGGGAAATTCATGTCAGTAAGTAGTAGTAAATGAACTCTAAACCCTCTCATTCACTAAATCAAGTCAACAAGTAAAAAAAATACATACATACAGTCAGTTACACACTCACTGACTGCCTGCCCACTAAAACGCCAGAGCAATGCATAGCCAAAACCCACAGAGTCTAGGTCGTAACTTTTCCAAGGGGAAAGGGGAGGGGGGGCATTATGAAAGGAATACCAGCCACAAGGAACAACAACAACAACGATAACATCGAAGGGTAACGAGAATGAAGAAAAGTGACAGTCAAAGCTAACTGACTTCATCCATTGCAGCACGTGATCGTGGCGCAATAGATGGATGGAGTCAATTACGTAGACCATACCATACAACAAGGTAAACAGGTATAACTCTGGTCCAAGTTGAATGTGAGTGATGTGATGTGATAAAAACGGTCAAGTAAACAAGCAAGGACACACTCCAACTCCCGAATCAGAACCCCCCAAGCAATACATACACTACATGCTTGCGCTTGCGCGCACTACCCTTAGATAAAGGGATCCTCTTCTACGACACCGGCAGCTCCCTTGGCCAGTCGTAAGTCCTTGGGTCCAAGACCGAGGTTCTTGAAGTAAGGACCGAAGGAGGACAGGAGGTCCTTCAGGGATGCCTTCATCGTGTCCAGGACGAGGTCGACGTCGGGGACACGGCGAGCCGCGGCTTGTGCTTCCGGGTTGCTGGATGGGGGGAAGTTGACGTCTGTCCAGTGGGCGTCGAGGCCACCGTTGATAAAAGGTTCGAGGGTCGTGATGGTCTCGGTTAGGAGGCGTACGACGGTGGCCACGTCGGCTTGGACCTTGCCGTATTGGTCCTCCGCGAGACTCTTGATGAGAAGGCAGGTGAGGGATTCAGTGGCGTCGATGACGGAGCAGATGGTTGCGTGGGGTGTGCCGAGGACAATGCCAGAGAGGCGACGAGCGTAGGTTTGACGGAAGAGTCGGCCTAGTGGGGAGCGGAGGAGCTGAGCGAGGAAGGGATGCAGGTTCTCGGGCTTGCTGGTTGATGGTGCGGTGAGCATCTTGAGCTCCTGGGAGGAACCGAGCAGCTTCTGCTTGCGTTCCGGGCTCAGCATGGCGGAGGAGGCGCGGTCCAAGACATCGCGGGCCCTGGCGCGTGCGGTAGGCGTCCAGTCTGGGGAGTTGCCGTAAGCTCTGGCGGTGGTGGTGAAGGCTTCGCCGATTTTCTGTTGGCGGGTTGATGCCTTGGGAGACGGAGCGAAGATGTTGTCCGCCTTAGGGGGGTCTGTCAACCGTGGCAGGGAGTGAAGGACGGGCTCTGACTGCTGGACTGGCGCAGGCTTAGGGCCAGATGATGGGTTCTTGGCCTCGCTGATGCGAGTGGTAACGCCCGTGATCACATCTGTGGCGGCTTGCAAGATTTGCGACCAAGCTGCCCCCTCCTCGCGATCGATGTCATTGAAGATGGCTTTCCGGCGATCAGGAAATCTCTGGCTGATGAAGTACAGCTCCCAAAATGCGAAGGCGCGAACAGTTTCCTTCTTTGCTTTTAGTCCATTCAGCAGGCTGCCGTTGGGATCCTTGGCTTCGGCCGTCAAGGGCTGGCCTCGCTTGAGGGGCTCTTTGCTGAGGAACACGGAGAAAAAGAGGTTGGCTGTCTGCCAGCAGAGAACTAGAAGGCCTCCTGAGATCAAAGTGCGCACGATAACTCCGAAGATTGGCGGGATAACGCCGGGAGGGCTTGCGGCAGATCTCGGGAAATCCCAGAAGAGCTTTGCAAAGAACAAAGTGGTGCGCCATGCCGGGCGTCGGAGGACGAATGCGTATGCGAATGGGCAAAGAATGGAAACCAGAATACTCCGTTTCAGCCCATCCTTGATGAGCTGCGGCAACGCTGACTGAAGTCGTTTAGAGATCGATAGCTCCAGCCGGTTATCTTCATCAGCGGAGCCAGCGACCCTCCTGGCAACGGGAAGAGGGACACGATCGTAGTCGTAGTAAAGATGCGCCACTGACTGCGAGACTGCCAGGAGAAAGTGATAGGCATAAAGGTAGATCGCTCTTTCGTTCAAGCTTGCTCGTTCGTGAGGTCTACCATTACTAGTTAGGCAAATCCGAGACATTGCTTAAGCTCGTCGTCGCAGGAAACATACCTAGCTCTGTTCACCAACTCAAGGTGTGCAGTACTTGAAGAAGACCACCTGTAGACTTCACTAAACCACCAGGCGGAGAACAAGTACCAGCCGAAAGTCTGTATAACGTCGAGGGGAACGAGGTATTTGAAGGTGCTGAGAGGGGAGGAGGTTGTCCTGGCACCGATGTGCATCTGACCAACACGGAGGACGAAGACGACGAGACTGCATAGGAAGAGAAGGACTGTGCGAATTCCACATCCTCCAATGGGGAACCAAGCCCATAAGACTATCGAGGTATCCAGGTGGTTAGCGATCACAACTTTTCAAACGCTACCCGGTGTTGGTGTATACCTACAGGACGATTTATCTCCAATAGCGAATGCCACTACATAGCAGACCAAAAGCGCCAGTGCCGACGCATGAACAAACCGTCTGTGCAGCGCAGAGGTCAAGATGCGCCGATACGGGCGAGGCTGTGCTGCAGCCATGGTGCAAGGTGGAAGAGGGACTGTGAGATCTCTAGGGAGAGAAGAAACAAAACAATTTCACTGCATGATCAGGTGACAAAAGCAATTGAAGTATCCGGTCGGCCTGTCAGGACGGAAAGCTCCAAAGGGGGGCAAGTGGAGCTTCGAGGAGTGTCGGCGTCGGATGCGACAATAAAGTGAAGCTTTTCGGGCAAAGCATCAAAACATGCACCAGCCACAAACGCCGTGTCATGTGAGACCCCACCAGCCATCGATGGCGTCAAGTGAGTTGCTGCCTGTGAATCATGGCACCCACACAGCCAGGCAACCATTGACACCTGACAGCGATAACGTACTACTTTAGCAGGGAGACAGCCGGCCGGTTGCATCGGCCGGATGATCCCACCTTCATCCACCCACTGTCGCATCTCATTCCACCATGTCGTTTGATCGCTTGAACTCGCTAGAGGCGCAGCCTACAACTTTCCGTCGCTCCGACGATCCCCAATATCGCGATGACCCCGAATTCCATCGTTTGACCGAGGGTCTCTCCAACCAACTGTTTACCCTGACCTCCAACATCACTCGGTTGTCCGATCAGATTGCCCTTCTGGGAACGAGGCGAGACACCGAGCGTGTGCGCGAGAGAGTCCACAAGCTCCTGGAGGATACTCGGGCGGGATTCAGGGATGTCGCAGATGGGATCAAGAAGGTCCAAACATGGGAGGATGTCAGTGTATGTGACACCTAGATACATCACCCCAGTGCGCTGCGATCGGACAAGCAATGCTAACGTAATTCTCACCAGCCCTCCCAAAAATGGACTCAACAGAAGCTGTCGTCCGAATTCAAAGCTACCTTGGAAGAGTTCCAGACCGTTCAGCGTCGTGCCTTGGAGAAGCAACGAGCGTCTGCAGCAGCAGCTCGGACTGCCGTAGACGAAGCGGAGCCTGGCTCCGGGGTTGATCACCAGCAGCAGCAACAGCAAGAGCAACTGTTGGAGGAACAGCCCCGCCTCGCGAACCAGGATGAAGTGGACTTCCAGGAGGCCCTCATTATCGAGCGCGAGGCTGAGATCCGCAACATCGAGCAGAGTGTTGGCGAACTCAATGAACTGTTCCGGGACGTGGCTCACATTGTTCATGAGCAAGGTGGACAGCTCGACATTATCAGTGAGAATGTCGAAAGAGTCGGCGATGACACTCGTGGAGCAAACGTCGAGCTCCGTAGCGCCAGCCGATACCAGAAGAATGCGCGCAATAAGGCCTGCTGTCTGCTTGTCATTCTTGCTGTTATCCTTACTATCATCGTCCTGGCGGCAACCCTGGGATAGACTTGAGCGTTAATTCTGTATTCTCGCTTCCACTCCCGCAACCACGACACCGGATGTCGCTTATCATGACTGTCCCCTATCTTGATGATATCCTCTCGATGTACGTTTACGCATGTGCTTGTGCTTTTTCCGCTACTGCAGGCGGCTTGTTGTGTTCTGTTACGTCGATCGCTATGGGTTCTCAGGCGCATACGGAGCGAGGATGTTCTATTTACATTTGCCGTTCTATCTTCCCATGCTCTATATCATACATAGCTTCTCTTATACACGAATTGTACACTGCGTTGCTTACCCAAGACCGTTCCCAAAACTCCGTTGTTCGCCTCTGATGCAGCGTAAGAAAGACATTGGGGAGCTTTACAGTCCCATAAACTTGCTGAATCTCATGCGGCAGCCCTCCACTGTGTTCAGTTTCGGCCGGACATCCAGATAGAAGCTGAGCTTGCCGGGTCCAGCATTGGCAGCCAGGCCGGGAGCATTGTTTGCACCCGACGATTTCCCTTGGTAGAAATCGATGACATATTCGATCCTTTCACCACCACATCTCTCCACAACCCAGTCGTGCCGATCAAAGGGAAGCTGGTAGCCCATCAGGTTATTTATACGGGCGCGGGGGCTCAGGAACTGCGGGTCGACACCCAGACCGCGGAAAGCATACAGCTTCGGGCCTCCACATTTCTTGCTACCGGGGTCCGACATGGGGGCCCGGCTTTCCCATTGCAAGATCTGCTGCCAGGCGCGCTCATTGACGGCGTTATGGATAGGAATGATGGATGCGACGGTAGTCGCCAGTTCGGAGGCGGAGGTTGTAGAGCTAGGAGTGTTGCCCTTGCGCACGAGAGCTTCGAAGAATTGCCGTTCTGACGGATAGATCCAGTTTCCAGTGTTCGGGTCATGACCGGTTTCAGCTTCTGCATTGGATGGGGTGCCATGCGATGCGGCCGTGGCAGCGTAAGGTGACGCGGGCGCATTTGACGAGTCGGCACTCGACGGCTGGAAGGTAGTGTCAATGGCGCGCGGTATACTGCTCACTTCACGGTCGGTCGACAGAGGCCTCTGAGATTTGCCTTTCGATTCCTGTCCACCTTCGGAGGGTAGAGGGTGAGGAGGTGCAGCGCCGCCAGATGCTTGGTGCTGCTGCAACCAGGCCTCGCGGGTTTTGTGGTCAACAGGGCATACACCAGCCGCAGGCGGCTCGGGCGACGGAGTACTTGCACCGGCACCCATTGTTCTAGATGAGAATTGGGGTGGAGGGACAAACAGAAACTCGGCCGCGACACTTGGAGCGAGAGGAGTGGATGGGATCATGAGGTTTGATTGCAAATCGATTGGATCGGGCGGAAAGGCGGGCAAATTCTGGCCGCTCACCGCCTCGGAAACCCGACAACAAAAGCCCCAAACTTTCCCAACATGGAAATCCCCCGCCTTTTCGTCGCTCGTCTTTAGCCTTCGCCCCTGAACGCTTCTCTCTATCTTCCTTCCTTTTGATATATTTTATCTCCAAGTCTCTTCAAGTGTATTTTTCTTGTTTTAATAGTCCTACAATGGCTGCTCCCGCTGACAGTCAGGTCTTCCGGGCCACCACCACCGCCCCTGTCAACATCGCCGTCATCAAGTATGCCTCCCACTCTGTATCCGATCATACGCACGTTTGGTGGAATCTAATTGTGCCTCAATAGGTACTGGGGCAAGCGCGATGCTGTTCTCAACCTTCCTACGAACTCTTCCCTCTCCGTCACCCTTTCGCAGCGCTCCCTCCGCACTCTCACCACCGCTTCCTGCGCTCCTTTTTACCCCGCCAAGGACGAGCTCACCCTGAACGGCAAGCCCCAAGACATCCAATCCTCCAAGCGTACACTTGCTTGTCTGGCCAGCCTTCGCGCTCACCGTCGTGAGCTCGAGGATGCGAACCCCTCGTTGCCCAAGCTGTCCACCTTCCCTCTCCGCATTGTCTCCGAGAACAACTTCCCCACCGCCGCCGGTCTCGCCAGTTCGGCTGCCGGCTTTGCGGCCCTTGTTCGCGCCGTGGCAGACCTTTACCAGCTGCCCCAGTCGCCCCGTGATTTGAGCCGCATCGCTCGTCAGGGCTCTGGCTCTGCCTGCCGTTCTCTGATGGGTGGTTATGTCGCCTGGCGCGCTGGATCCCTGGAGGATGGAAGCGATAGTTTGGCAGAGGAGGTTGCGCCGCAGTCTCACTGGCCTGAAATGCGTGCCCTCATCCTGGTTGTCAGTGCCGCAAAGAAGGATGTTCCCAGCACTGAGGGTATGCAGACGACCGTCGCTACTTCGAACCTCTTTGCTACCCGGGCGAACACTGTTGTTCCGGAGCGGATGGCTGCCATCGAGACCGCCATTCAGAACCGTGACTTCCCCGCCTTCGCAGAGATCACGATGCGCGACTCCAACGGCTTCCACGCCACTTGCTTGGACTCATGGCCTCCGATCTTCTACATGAACGACGTTTCTCGCGCTGCCGTCAGACTTGTCCATGACATCAACCGCGCCGTCGGCCGGACCGTCTGCGCCTACACCTACGATGCGGGCCCGAACGCTGTCATCTACTACCTTGAGAAGGATACCGAGCTTGTTGCTGGTACCGTCAAGGCTATCCTTGGTGAGAAGGCGGAGGGCTGGGAAGGTCCCTTCTACACGCCTCTTAAGGACGTTACCACCCCCGGCGTGTCCCTGGATGAGGTGGACCCCCGCACCGTGGAATCGCTCCAGGATGGTGTGAGCCGTGTGATCCTGACCGGTGTTGGCGAGGGTCCTATCTCGGTGGATCAGCATCTTGTCAGTGAGAAGGGCGATATCCTTTCTGCCTAGAGGCTTCATCGCATTCTGGGAGAATTCAAACACCAGCAACTAAACGAACAGAGGGTCCCCGCACATCGGAAACCCTCAAGATACCCATATGCTTTGCATTTGTTGCGCAGCTTCCCAGACTATCACTCCCTCTAGCACCGCGGACGATAAGAGGCCATCATCGCTCTATATAATATAAATAATTTCTTTTCCCGGGCCACTTCAACATTTCTTTTTGCATACTCATTTAATAATATAAACCAAAACACATGACGGATTTCATGAATTTTTATAATGATCTATGTATGACTTTTTGGTGAAACCTAAGAACAACAACGTTATGAAATGCAATAACACCTAGAGAGAACCCCCTTAGTTCAACAAAGCCGACAACTTAATCTCCTTAACCGCCGGCACCTCCCTCCCCTTCCCAACATTTGCTGTAGCGGTAACACTATCCCAGAACACACTCTGTCCTCCAGTAGCATGAGGCACTCCATCCTCCCCAAATGCAGTTCCAGCCCCATTCTCTCCCTCACCAGCACCTTCCCCATCAGCACCGCCCACAGCCTCAGCAACCAAAGCCCCAAACACCTCCTCCCGACTCTCCTTACACAACTTCAACACCTCACTCATCGCCTTCTCCACCGCCACCGCCCGTTCTCTCATCCCCCTCCTCAACAACGCATCAACCAGCGCCTCCACCTCACTGACCGTCGAATTCGCCCTCTCCAACAACCGTCTCACACTATTAACCAGATACTCCTCCTCATACACAGTCCCCTTCTTACCACGCGCACGCTTCCTCTCCTCCTTCCTCCGCGTCTTCGACGTGTGGCGCGACGAGCTCGTCTTCCCTGTCTTCCCCGTGTTGCCCGTATACCGCGTGAACATGGACCGGCCCGCCAATGTCGAAGCGTCAGTAGGCGCCAACGACACATTGTCGGGAATATCCACCCCCGCGGCACCGTCACCCAGGGTAGGGTCGCCGCCGAAGTAGGCCAGCGGGTCGGTGGCGCGGCGGATGCGCAGTTCGCGGATCCGGGGCACTTGGGCGTTGAGTTGCGAGCGGAAGTCCGCGAGCAGGTCCGTCATGCTGCCCATTGAGTCGGCGAGGCCGCTGTCGACTATCTCGGGGATTAGCGCGGATTGGTTGTGCAGGGTGAGGAGGCGCGTTGCCTCGGAGAACTTGGAAGCTCGGCAGAGGAGACGCGATGCCGCGGGGATGTCGTGCAGGTGGTCCGCATGGATAGTTGCCGCTGAGGTGTAGTCTTTGGATTCTTCGACTAGGGTGCTTATCAGGGCCGTGGCGTGCGCGCTTAGCTCCGTGGATGTGAGGGGCACGAGCATTGCGCAGTAGAGGGATTCGCGCCAGAGGTGGGCGAGGTGGTAGCTCTTGTAGGCGTCGGTGTAGAGTTCGAGGGATTCATAGGCTGTATGGGAGGAGGAGAAGGTTAGTTTGGTGGGTGAGGATTGGGGGTAAGGGGTGGTTGTTGGGTACGTACCGATGCCTGCTTCCTTGTATTTGGACCGGTCGAAGAGGTAATCGGCGTAGAGGTGGGTCATCTCGCGCAGTTGCTCCGCTTGGTACTTGTAGAGGTCGATGGCGTCCTTGTAAAGGACGTGCTTGATTGTGTACGCGCGGAGTTCATCGTGGGCGTTCAGAGCGTGCAGATGCTTGATCGCCTTGGAAGTCCGGCCCAGGTAGTTGTCGATCTCGAAGTAGCGGCGAAGTTCGGGTTGCTGCTGCAGCTTGCGCAGGAATGGTAGGTACTCGCGGGGGTCCTAGTGCGGGTTAGTTAGTATGCTGTGATGGTTGGGATACAGATGCTTGCTCACCCGTTGGGCCTGCTGGGCGACGAGGAGGGTGAGTTCGAGGTCGTAGAGCCCCAGCGCGTTATCGTACAACTGGTTAGCATCCGTCAAGAAACACATGTGCTCGATTGCGTCGTCTGCCTGTTCGGGTGATTGTTCTGCGAGACAGGTAAGTATTGAGTAGGAAAATTAGGAGTTTGGAGTACGAACCCCTCAAGCGTGCAACCAACTGCAGACCGGACTCGAGATCTGGTGGCGACTTGCAGACATGCGCAGTGATCAGGTTGTGCAGGTTGGTGTCAATGCGCTTCTCCAAGGTAGACAAGAAGGCGTCGCAGATTTTGTTGACTTTGCTGCCCTTGTTTGGTGCTGTTGCAACAATTCCGGCCGGCGCGTTGTCTGCCTTGGGTGTTTTCAGGGTGTCTTTGTAGAGAGTCTGGGAAACATCCTCCTCACTGGAGAGTAATCAGCCAGTATGCCTTGAAGGACAAGGTGTTTTGCATACCTAAGACGGGAGATAAACTCATCAATGAAATCAATCTTCTTTACTTGATCCACAAACAATTGGATGTTCTCCATGAACTGCTCCGGAGCATAGTCGTGAATAATATTCATATCCACCATCTGACTACGGCAGGTCAAGAATGCAGCCCGATAGTTCTTGCGGTCAATGAAGTTTCTGATACCGGCCAGAACGAGAGCTCTGGGATAGATGGTTTCGAGGTTTCCGCGGGGCATTTGCAGGATAACAGCAAAGGTTGTGGGCATCACAGTCACTAGACGTCCGCCACGTTCAATGCTTCTGCATCGTTCATCTGTTTCAGGGGTGTCCGGAGGAATGTCCATATCTAGAAACTTAGATTAGCTGATGTTGATATGGCTGGTAAATTGTCGATATTCTCACCTTCCACTGTAGTCAAGTGCACAAATTTGATCAGGTGAAGAGAAGTTGTAAACAGGATATGGGCCTGAGTTACAAGGAAGGAAGTGCAATTCTTCGCAAGGAGTCGCTTGTTGGCATACAGGGAACCGGACCTGGTCATGGAGACCAGAACGTGCTTCAAGAAGTTAGCTATGAAAGTATTCTAAGTCCTGAGAAGGGCTTACCTCGTCCTCAGAAATCTGTGCAGCCTTAGCCCAGTATGTATCAACTGTTGGGCTTTCAAGCCAAGGTAGAATCTGGAACTCCTCGGAGGAAGGCATGGAGACATAGGAGTAGGTGACCGGCTGGTTAGGCGCCTTAACGTGAGAGAACCACAGGGCTTCATGTCCGAGGGAGGCGAACATTGAGAGTATTTGCTCCGAATCCGCTGCCTGATAAGCAACCTGAGTCGTGCGTGTCTCCAAAGCAGTGCGTTCAATTTGAGTATTGTTCGGGCCATCGTCCTTGAGTATGTAAACTTCATGTTCGTTTACAAAGGCAATCTGTCGAGGCCGGCTATCAGGCGCATCCGACAACGGATAACTCGACTCGAGGATTGGGGACGGAACAGGTCTCGTTTTGAGAGACCAGAGGAAGATAGAGAACCGATCCTTCATAAGAACAGCCATCCGCGTTCCCGACTTGCTGAATGCCACATCAACAATGTTCGAGTCGAGTGTCAGCTCATTGTGAGCCATAGGAGGAGGAACTCCCGCCAGCCTCAGAGGAGTCAATTTGAGGATTTCTTTCGCCGTCAGCTACATTCAACCAATATATATGGTGGTGAGACTTACTTCCATCGATGACAGCGACAGCGCCAACATCGTCCGGGCTGGTGGTGGATCCCTGAGATACGTCGAAAACAAAGTCCACATCCAACATTGATCCTGTAACGAGTTAGAAAATAGGCCATAGAAGGTATTTGCAATTTTTCAATTACCTGAAGCCCCAGCAATAAATCGTAGAGCTTTCTCCTGATGCCATTTCAAGGAGAACGGATACGGATATTCGGCGTTCACTCCAATTGCAATCTCTTGCTTGAGGTAGTAGTGGTAGTTGCCGGTTGTCCAGAACTGGATTCTGTCGTGGAATTGCACCGCAAGCACCGTTGAATCGACGTTCCAGCTCAAATGAATATTCGAAGCCCAGGTCGACCGTTCTTCCTCCGTCAGGCGGAGAGTGAATTCTCCATGGCGCAAGCCGTTCCTTTCAAAGAAGACCACGTCGATTCTATCTTCGCGGCGCTGGATACCGGCGATAAGGTTGCCAGAAGGCCTCCAGCTGAGGGCACCTTCCAGTCCATCCACTGGCTCACTGATGCTATCCAAGGTTCCCTCTCTCGAGTAAACCCGGATCGCACGTCGAACGCCAGCTTCGATGCTGTTCACGGCGACGTAAGCACCATCACCACGCCAGCTAATGGTCGTCTTTCCATCATCACTAGCGCTCAACTTACCCTCGTCCACCTTCTCGGGGACAGTAGGATCACGAAGAGCCTTAGCACGCTTACCCTGGAACTGGGTCTCGCGCTTTCCCCAGCCCACAGAGACATGCTGGGAGGCGCGGAGGTCCTCCTGCGTGAAAGTAATTTCGGCAACATTTTCGAATTCTCTCGTCATGTAAAGGAATGTATTGGCTCTTGTAGTCAAGGCCAGGAGCTCCTCATCGGGGGACCATGCAGCAGCTGTGATACCAACATCAACAGTACCCACAATCTCAATCTTGTCCTCGCCGGGAAGGGGTTCTTCACGGACAATGACGATGTCACCTCCTTCCAGCACCAGGCAGGCAGTGAGATTGTCAGCAAAGTAGTGCAGGGAGAGCACCCGGTCGCATTCCAGATCTGGTAGTGGGCATGGCGCATCCCAGGATGCGATGATTTCAAATGCATCCGCCCCTACGGGGGCCGAAAAATAGGCGTCATGACGCTTTCTGCGGAGCTCTATGACTGGCTGGGACGCAGAAGGTCCAAATGTGCAAACGACAGCATCTGAAGCTGTATCCCAAGCTGTTGCTGTCAAAGGAAGCTCATTCTGGAGCTGCACCTCGGCGAGGCGCACGATTTTGAGGTTGCGCATCTTTTGAAGAGTAGTGTTCTACCCCGCCGCCATGAATCGACGGAAGCTTCACTGGGGAAAAAGAATGAACGGGGAAAAGGAAAAGTGCAAAAATAATATCTAGAGGGAATTTACTCTCATAGAGTTGACTATTAGATTTTGCAAGCGTAGGTTTTATTTTCCTTCACGCGCGTCGCCCACGGAATTGCGAACAATATCATATCAGAAGCCGAGCCAAAGATTTTAATTTTCCTACTGACAAAAAATCGACCAATGACTTCATCCATATTCTAATAAGGCATCAGACAACCACCACCACACCGCGCTTCGTCCCCCAACTACAGATGTTTTTGGCGTGAATTTTACCCCGGGAATTTCCTGAATCAGAGCATAATAAATTCTCTAGCTTTATACACAAATTCCGAGCGCTTCCAACGTAGGATACATTTTCGACCAGCCGCCAATGCCCAACAATGCCATTGCATGTGGAAATACAGCACGAGAGAGCGTTTAGCGGGTCTTGTAGGTCTGCCAGACTGTAGGAATAAATGGGTTAGATAGACGAACGTAAACTGCCGCAAGACGAATGGCAACATACCAGCAATGGCGAAGGGGGCACCGAAACCGGTGACTAGAGTAAGCAAGTCAGCAAGACGTCCGAGTCGCAACAATCACAGCAACCAATTGGGCCACATACCCATGAAAGCCCAGTATCTCCAGAAGAAGTACTTGGTCAGGGGGTTGAAGGGAATGTTGGAGCGAGGGCCCTCGGCGTAGTGGTAAGGGCTACCGAGCTGAGCGCGGGTGGTGGAAAAGCCACGACGGGCAACGAAGGAGGTGGCCATTCTGGCGCGGAGGGCGGTAGCAGCGTACATCTTGAGCTGGGTTAGAGGCAATTGACTGGATGGGATATGGAGAACAATGGGTTTCACCCACTTTGAATGAGGCAGAGAAGCACGACGGTCGAGACAATCCTACTGATATCAACGGGCGGAGGTGCGAGCAAGTCGAGTGGAACGATACTCCCGGCTGCTCCCCGGCTGTCCGCTCACGTGATTCACTATTCCGAACGGCAAGTTTCGCCGGCAGCCATTCACCGCCTTGCGAGGTCTGGGCCAATCACACGCCGCTTCCCTTCACGGGTTCATTGAAATTTCTCGGTGCGATCGCTCTTCTGTGAGACGGTGCAGAACGTCAACCACCCGTCCAGGCCAGTTTGCGTTCCCGCGTCCTTTGTGGCAGACTGTCGACGATGGATGAGCTTTTCGACGTCTTCGAGGACCAGCCTCAGGCCGTTAGGCCTGCGGACGGAGCTCCCAAACGAGCGAAGAAAGACAAGAGCAAGAAGCGACAGGTCAATGGCGACGTGAAGGAGGACGGTGCTGCTACGGAAAACCCTACGGAAACCCCTGAGGATATTGAGATCACGGATGCGCCTGCCGTCGAAGAAGAAGTCGAAGAAGCGAAGGAGGACGAAGAAAGCCCCGCCGCCGACAACAATGAACAACCGGATGCGAAACGCCCGCGCCTCGAGAAGGAACCGGAGCCTGTGGTAGCGGACTCATTCGAGACGGAGCAGGAGCGCGAAGTCGCGGGATCGGCAGGCCTTCAAGGTGTCAACGATTCGACCTCTGTCAAGTTGTCCCACCAGGTGCGGCATCAGGTCGCCATCCCGCCGAAGTACCCATACGTGCCCATTTCCGAACACAAGCCGCCGGAGACCCCAGCCAGAGTGTGGCCATTCACTTTGGATCCTTTCCAGCAAGTCGCGATTGCATCGATCCAGAGAGAAGAAAGTGTCTTGGTTTCAGCTCATACTAGTGCCGGAAAAACCGTGGTCGCCGAGTACGCCATTGCGCAATGTTTGAAGAACAACCAGAGAGTTATCTATACGAGTCCGATCAAGGCTTTGAGTAACCAGAAGTACCGAGAGTTTGCCGAGGAATTCGGAGATGCGGGCTTGATGACTGGAGATGTTACCATCAACCCAACAGCCACTTGCCTGGTCATGACCACTGAGATTTTGCGGTCCATGCTCTACCGGGGTTCTGAGATTATGCGCGAAGTTGCCTGGGTCATTTTTGATGAAATCCACTATATGCGTGATGCGAGTATGTCTAATCGATCTCCGCCTTAGTTTACTGGATACTGATTTACGCTATAGTCAGAGGTGTGGTCTGGGAGGAAACCATTATCTTGTTGCCCGACAAGGTTCGATATGTATTCTTGTCTGCCACCATCCCTAACGCTATGCAATTCGCCGAATGGGTAACGAAGATGCACAACCAACCCTGCCACGTCGTCTATACCGATTTCCGGCCGACGCCACTACAACACTACTTCTTCCCCAATGGATCGGAAGGTATGCATCTTGTTGTGGATGAGAAGGGAGTATTCCGTGAGGAGAATTTCCAGAAGGCCATGAGCAGTATCGCCGACAAGAGGGGCGACGACCCGTCAGATGCGATGGCCAAGCGGAAAGGAAAGGGCAAGGACAAGAGGTTGAACAAGGGTGGCACCCAGGAAAAGAGCGACATTTTCAAGATCGTGAAGATGGTCATGCTCAAGAACCTGAACCCTGTCATTGTATTCAGTTTCAGCAAGCGCGAATGTGAGAGCTGTGCTCTGCAAATGAAGAACTTGGCCTTCAACGACGATTCTGAGAAAGAGATGGTTCAGAAGGTCTTTGACAGCGCGATCGAAATGTTGTCCGAGGAGGACAGGGGATTGCCCCAGATCCAGAATATCTTGCCTCTTCTTCGCAGGGGTATTGGCGTCCATCACTCTGGTCTGCTCCCTATCCTCAAGGAGACGATTGAGATTCTTTTCCAGGAAGGTCTGATCAAGGTACTCTTCGCCACTGAAACGTTCTCCATTGGTCTTAACATGCCTGCGAGAACTGTCGTCTTCACAAGCGTTCGGAAATTCGACGGCTTCAGCCAGCGTTGGGTCACACCTTCAGAGTTTATCCAGATGTCTGGCCGTGCTGGTCGAAGAGGTCTTGATGATCGCGGTATCGTTATCATGATGGTCGGTGAGGAGATGGACCCCGCCGTGGCGAAGGAAATTGTTCGTGGTGAACAGGATCGACTTAATTCGGCTTTCCACTTGGGTTACAACATGATTCTTAACCTCATGCGTGTAGAAGGCATCTCACCTGAGTTCATGTTGGAGAAGTGTTTTTACCAATTCCAGAACACCGCCGGTGTCGCAGAGCTTGAGAAACGTGCGTCCTTACACCCAGCTTTATCGCATGTCGCTTGCTAACTGTGCTATAGAACTCACGGAGATGGAGGAGAAGCGTGCCAATCTCAACATTCCCGACGAAGGAACCATCCGCGAGTACTACGATCTGCGTAAACAGCTCCGCAAATTCGGCGATGATGTCCAAGCAGTGATGAGCCATCCCGAGCATTGCCTGTCATACATGACGCCCGGGCGTTTGGTTCAGATTAAGCACAAGGACATGGAGTTTGGGTGGGGTATCGTTGTCAATTGGAAGCATCGCAAGCCACCGAAGAATGCGACTGAAGAGTACAACGATCATCAGAAACATGTGGTTGATGTGCTCCTCAACATTGCCGACGGAGATTCCGTGGGCACCAAATCATTCGAGGACCTACCAGCTGGCGTCAGACCACCCAAGGAGGATGAAAAATCCCGCATGGAGGTCGTGCCAGTTGTTCTCAGCTGTATCCAGAGCATTGCGCATGTCTGCCTCCGTCTTCCCAAAGACTTGAAGCCAAATGACACACGGAACAACCTGAAGAACACCCTGGAGGAAGTGAAGAAGCGCTTCCCGGATGGCATTGCCACTCTTGATCCTATTGAGAACATGGGTATCAAGGATGACGAGTTCAAAAAGACGCTCAGGGTAAGTATCCAGTACTTCACAAAAGAAGTGACACTGTTGGCTAATCGACGTTGTAGAAAATCGAGGTTCTGGAGTCCCGTCTTCTCTCCAATCCCCTGCACGAGTCGCCACGTTTACCCGAACTATACAATCAGTACTCCGAGAAGGTGGATTTGGGAAACAAGATCAAGGAGACCAAGAAGAAGATCTCGGAGGCTATGGCAATCATGCAACTCGAAGAATTGAAATGCCGTAAGCGTGTGCTTCGTCGATTCGGATTTATCAATGAGGCCGAAGTTGTACAACTGAAGGCGCGCGTTGCCTGTGAGATTAGTACAGGTGACGAGTTGATGCTCAGTGAACTTCTCTTCAACGGTTTCTTCAATAACCTTACGCCAGAGCAAGTGGCATCTGCCCTGAGCGTCTTCGTCTTTGAAGAGAAGACCAAGGAGACCCCTGCTCTGACACGGGATGACCTCGCGAAGCCCCTCAGGGAGATCCAAGCGCAGGCTCGGATCGTCGCCAAGGTCTCCCAGGAGTCCAAGTTGGCGGTCAACGAGGAGGAATACGTGCAAGGTTTCCACTGGGAGTTGATGGAGGTCATCTTCGAATGGGCGAACGGCAAGTCTTTTGCTGACATCTGGTAAGTTTTAATGTCCACCATTCGCGGCCGTCTTTCTTTTCCGTGGTAGTATTAGATTGCTGACTGGTTCTTTTTCTCCCTAATGCAGCAAAATGACCGACGTCTACGAAGGCAGTTTGATTCGCGTCTTCCGCCGATTGGAAGAGTGTCTCCGACAGATGGCGCAGGCAGCCAAGGTCATGGGAAGCGAAGATTTGGAGGGTAAATTCGAGACAGCCTTGACCAAGGTGCGCAGGGACATTGTCGCTGCCCAGTCCTTGTATCTCTAAGGTACTGCTGCTACCTATCATTAGTAGTTCTTGTATCTATCTATCTTCTCCCTTGGGTCAGTTTTGTCCTCCTCATTTATGATCATCATCATCACCTCTGTTGTAAAGGATGGTTTGCGCGGTATGTCTGGGTGGTCGCATTTTTCTGGCGTCAGGCTTCCCAAAAAGGATTTGGCTTTGTTGTTCGTTACCTTTTCTTTTTCTTACTATCTGTAAATGAGATATCTCATTCCGTTTTTCATTTTACTTTTCCTACTTGCTTTCTGTTACCTGAGCCCCATCAGATGTACACAACAATATTTCTAGACTACATCAAGAAGCGACAGTATCAATTAGGCTTCATATCATCATCATTCACTTCCATCTATCTAGACTAGTACCCAGTAGTACCCATGCCACATAGTGTCACCTTCTATTTAAAATACATCTTATCCGTCTTCCAACGCAACTCCGTACCCAGAAATCGGCTCCGTTGCTGCTCCATGTGCACATATGTGAGTGATGTTTAGGCATCCCAAGGACCCTCAGACTCAGACTCAGACACGGTCCATTTAAATTGAAGCCAACGACCGGTAATCTTACCCCCGGTCTGTATTTGTCGTACGAACGACTGGGGAAATAGAAAGATTTGGTAATGTTGCAGTGTATGTATGTTTTCTTTGTGTTTGGATCAGGGTTGTCGGTGCTTGACGCTGCTGGGCGTTGGCTTGGTTTTGATTGGGGGCTTTACTTCGTCTCAATCGTGTGAGAAGTAGGGAAGGTTGGTGCTAATATGCGTGTTTACTATGCGTGTTGGGTGGAGGCGCAATATTGTTTTCTTGTGGTTCTTTTGCGATTGGCTGTGCTATTGTGTGGGTTCGGTCTTATTCTTTTTTTCATATGAAGAATATACTAAGTGATACAATTCTACAAATGGTTGATCATATGTCAGATAGTCCAGAGCCAGGGGGTCTATGCTTTCGGTGTTGTCGTTTGCAGCAGTAAGCCATCGGAATTTTCTTGGACCTGCTACGACCTGACACGGTCTCAGATGGTTGAAAGATAACCCCAGACCAATAGTCCAGACACGAGCAAGTGTCAGACCTGTCCATCGCCTACCTGTCAACTGAGTGGCTTGGGGATAGTTCAATGAGAATGTCTGGAATACGGCGAGGTTACCATGATGCTGTGTTCAACGGGAATATGTTTCAGACGAGCACCTTTTCATTGCTGATTACCGCAAAT